GACTGAGAACATGTCGACTTGGACGATATCGTATAGGGAATCCGTAGATTGAGGATCCTTTTGAACAATTGACAAACCCAATGCGTGGGCCATTCGTTTGATGAGGTCGGTGTAAGACGACAAGGTATCTGATGGAGATATAGGAAGGTTTTGGAAGACGTCGGTGTTGGGGGAGGAGTTATCCGGCGACGTCGGAGCCTCGGATGGCTCAGTATCGGAGCTCGATTTCGACGGCTCTATTGGTGCAGCCGTCATGACGGCGGATGTTCCCGACCGTTGCAGATGGTCTAGATCGCCTCGGGGAACGAGACCTGTGGGAAGATCGACAGGAGTATCTGTCCCAGTCAGTGTATGGCCCAGCTCAAGTGGATCTTGAGCGTCGATGCCGACGGCCGTCGATGTCGGGAGGCTCTGAGGCGACCGATGCCGATGAGCTGGATGGACAGGGGGAACACTCCGCACCCAACTGGTGACTTACGAGTCCCATTTGGTCGATATCGTACAAGGCTGTCTCCACCTGATGGTCTGGAGAGTCTAGCACAAGTACTGTGGTCTCAGACGCAACCTGGTTCACTGGTATCGATGTCATCGGTGTCAAACCAGTCGGTATCGATGGTGGCGGAAGGGCTGGAGCTGCTGGCACAGAGTCCTTCTTAGCAGGCTTCGCAGCCTTGGCCACCTTCTGCGTCGCCACTGCAGGGTTGGACTTCTTGGCCTTCTTAGCAGGGGTGGACGCTGTGGAAGGAACGTTCGGTACCTTAGGTTTCGGTTTCGACCTCTCGGTATCGGAAACAGACTTAGCCTTCGACGTCGACAGTTTTGATGCCGATGCGTCGGTAGCGGAAGACATGGCGACGGAGGAAGTGACCGGCAGGTCAGCCATCGGTTGAAGCACTTTTTCCAAGAGGAAAACTCTCAAACGTGCCGCTCTGTTCTTCCGAGTTTGGTTTGAAAACCGCACACAATGTTCACAGGAGTATGGATTGTGGGTCTCCCCAAGACAGGAAATACAGTACTTATGGCCGTCTGGAGGAGCCAATTTACTTCCACAAGTACAACAACGATTGAAAAACCCCCACTTCTTCGACTTTTTTGTCTTCTTCTCCATAGACTGAGGAGAAAAAGAAACCAAACGATGGGGGGGGGGGGGCAGAAGCCCGAAGGCCTGAGGCAATTTTACCTCAGACGACGAAAAACAAAAACTCTCCTTTTTTTTTTTTTGAAAACAAGAAGAGAAATAAGAAGTGAAGAAAAACTGAGGCAAAAAACAAGAGCTGATCACTAAAAAGTGACCCAAAAACAGCGATCCGGCCAGACCTCTCGAAGAAAGGTCTGCTCAGCGCAGCGTAAAGGAAAGAACTGGCGAGATGTCCGTGCCTGCCCTTTTGGGCATGCTCACTGGGGCTCCTGAGCATGCTCAGTTGGGCCAGGCACGAAAATCCTTTTAAGAGAGCTTGCTAGGCATCAGCAGATCCAGCGCAGGCGCACTAGATCCCATTGGTGTGAATCACAGAGACCACGAAGAAGATCAACAACTTATGCATTGGTTGGGAATCACAGGGCTGGAGAGGACTTCAAAAAGCCACCCAACCCACTCTCAGAAGGAGAGGGCCAGAAGAAATCCCAGGTATCCCATGGCCTAGACACCCAAACAACTGATAGGAGAGCGACCTCTGCACTACAGGTAAGTTACCCAGTCAGGCCTTCTTTTGAAGAGAAGAAGAAGAAGAGATTGGATTTATACCCCGCCCTTCACTACCCAAAGGTGTCTCAGAGCGGCTTACAAACTCCTTTCCCTTCCCCTCCCCACAACAGACACCCTGTGAGGTGGGTGGGGCTGAGAGAACTCTGACACAAACTGCTCTTTTACAAGGACAGCTGTGCCAGAGCTTGTGACTGACCCAAGGTCACATCAGCAGGTGCAAGTGGAGGAGTGGGGAATCAACCCCGGTTCTCCCAGATTAGAGGCCGCACACTTAACCACTACACCAAACTGGCCAGACCTCTCGAAGAGCTCAGGAAAGAATTACTGATGGTTTGATCTAGAGATGTGAAAGCCAAGGGGGATAGAAACACTGGGGATACTTTAGGGAGAACTTTAGAGGGAAAACTCTGATTTTTTTTTTCTTTTGGAATGAGAAAAATGCTTTTTCAGACAAGGTTTTACTCCCAGTGCATAACATGAAAAATCTGAATACTTTAAAAAATTCCAGTGAAAAATCAGTAAGTACTGGGGTACACGGGGAGATATTATCACACTTTCTGGTTCTTTGGCATTAGTGACATGTGCTAAGGTAATAGCACAGAGTACAGCAATGTATAGCTTTCTCTCTTTGCTTCTGGGTGTATTTGCAATTCTGTTGGCAAAAAACTAAGGCATTTACACTTTTAAATTCCACAAGTATGTTAACACATACAACTTGATATATAATAAGTCATAAATTATATTTTTATAACAACACAGCAAAACATACTGAGGTTTAATGGGAAAGTTAGCATAGCATACATTTAAACTTCTCCCCAAATTTCCACTTTTTCAGGAAACATGGTTTCCCCCCCATGGCTTTAAGATTTCCAGGTATTTTGCATCTCTGATTTGATTGGATAACCACATAAAGGACCCTGGACTCCTTCAAGGAATGTCAGGACTATTTAAAAGGCAATAGAAAGACAAATCAGATTTCTCTTTTCTAACTTCTAAGAGTTATAAGCTTTTCACTCTCTTATTTAACAATGTCTCAGTTGAGATACATTCTCTGTTTCTCTCGCCTTCTGGAATTCACACAAGTATGGAAGCTGCAGTATGTGCAAACTTGGCACACCAAACGCATTCTCAAATAATTTCAAGGATCTACAAACACAAGCATCAGGGAGGAGGAGGAGCCCCTCACTACCCAAGGGAGTCTCAGAGCGGCTTACAAACTCCTTTCCCTTCCCTTCCCCACATTGAACGAAGGAACATGGCTGCCAGCTTTGTTCCAAGAAACGCGACCATCCGCTGTTTTTATTCACTTATTTAAAGGATTACAAATGGCAACAATACAGAAACACAGAAAGCGAAACTGGAAGACTAAAAGAAAGTTCCCCCTGTAAGAATTATGTCCTCCGCGGAAGAAAATGGCGGCCGGGGAAAGAAACCGACAAATTTGTAAGTTTGCGCATCAGGGAGGAGGAGGAGCCCCTCACTACCCAAGGGAGTCTCAGAGCGGCTTACAAACTCCTTTCCCTTCCCTTCCCCACAACAGACACCCTGTGAGGCAGGCGGGGCTGAGAGAGCTCTGACAGAAACTGCTCCTTTTCAAGAACAGCTGTGCAAGAACTACGGCTTGCCCAAGGTCATCCAGCAGGTGCAAGTGGAGGAGTGGGGAATCGAACCCGGTTCTCCCAGATTAGAGTCCGCGCACTTAACCACGACACCAAACTGGCTCTCCCATCAGCTTGCTCTCCCGTCAGAGATAAAACTGTGATCCAAGCTCTCTGGGGAGCCTCTTGGTGTGTCAAAACAGGAGGCGAGAACGTTCGCAAAGATGACTCTTCACAAAAGCATGAAGCTGCCTTACCTTGCTGGCACGGAGCTGCTTGTAAACATCCGTCTGCTGCCTTATGCGGTACTCCAGGTCAGAAACCTGAGCCTGCAGCCACGTCCACCGACAGATGATGGCTGCCCTCTCCATGGCCCACTGGCGTTCTGCTAGATGGCGCCTGAAAACCAATTAATTGCATGGTACAATTACTTTTTTTTCCCGATGAAGCAGAAGATTTTATTGGATATACAGCTTGAAAGCAGGGTGCCCAGCTCAGAGAACTGAACACCCCGAATTGAGTTAATTAGCAGATATATATACTATCCCGGAGAGGTATCGAAAATAAAAAACGCCCTGTCTTGGCCCCCTTTCTGGTGACCAAAACGTACAGTCTTCCAATCCCGTTCGCCTAGAGGAGGTGCCGTAACGCCTCTGTTGAGAGTTCTGGTACAATTACTTTATCGCACTTCAACCTAATGTTTCCACATATTCGAAATGAAAAGCACAGGTGGGAAATAGATCAATGCAAGAGCCACAGATAAAAAGTCAACACTCCTTGGAGGGAACAAGCTCTCCCTTCTCTTAAAACAACCAACCAGCCTGATGAAGAGTTCCAGAGATCTCAAGCTTTGCAGGCTGTTCTGTGTCATTTTGGTTGTAGATCCTAATTAAAGAGGTATTATCCAGCCGGGGGGGGGGGGGGGGATGGATTGGGCCAGTCCAGCCACCTGTTTCCTCTAAATGACTGTGCAGTCTATCACATAGCCAACTAGAGGTGTACTGACTCTGGTGTAGGTGTACTGACTCTAGTCTTCGTTCTGAGACTTGGTGAGAAACGTAGCTGTTGTTGCACCAAGTGGGAGCAATGATCACAATTGCTATTAAGTTCAGTATTCATGCCAATTGAAACATGCCCACAAAATCCAAAACAATAACATTTGACTTCAAAAGTAGGAACAGAAATGGAGGAACTGGCCAGAAGGAAGCTGAAAGGGAGAACTGGCAGAGCGAAGTCTCTCCAGAGTGCTTATAAACTATTTAAAGACAGACTAATTGAGGCCCAGATAGAATGCATTCCTCAAGTCAGAAAAAAGAATCACCAAGTTTAAAAGGATGCCAGCGTGGTTTAATGACCCAGTCCAAGAAGGCTTCTAAAGACTTCTTTTAATGAATAGACAATTTCCTCCATGTGATGTGAAAAGAAAGGACGACCAGTTCTGGCAAAACAAACATAAGACTTGACCTTAAAGTGAGCAAAAACAGAATTTGAGGCGTGGATTGCTAAAACATTAAGAAATAAACATTTCTTCAAAACTACCAGAGGCAGAAGCCACTTAAGACAGGCAACTTGGCTTTTGGATGACAAAATAAATGAAAGAATTGCTTAAAGGAAGGTGGGTAGATGGCAGAGAAGCTGTATTAATTCTTTGCATCTCTTTTAACTGTGGAAAATATGGGGCACATACTGTTGCTGGAGCCAGTGTTCACAAACGGTGTGTGAAGAACGCAGTCAAACTGAAGTGACAAGAGACTAAGTTATAGGACAACTAAGACTAGGGATGGGCATGGTCCTGAAAAATGGCAGTCCGTTGAGATTCGTAGGTTCGTGGGGATTATGGACCCCTGGACAACAGACCTCCACATTTAACGGACCGGGTTGTGGTCCATGACGCGTGGCTTTCCCTTTAAATGGCTTTTGCAAGCCCTGCTGACATGGACCTTCCAAACCTCTCGGGAGGGTCATGGAAGGTCCATGTCTGCACGATGGCAAGGACTGGGCTCACAGAACATGAACTGGGCCCTGGTCTGTGAAAAATTAGGTTCGTGGTCCGGTAAATAAATAAAATCCCTAAGAGTCCAGATCCAAATGGCATATCGAAGGGATTCTTAAGAAGCATGAAATGTGACATGGTTTGTTTTCTAACAAGTTGTCAATAAAATCAGCTTCTGTGCCAAAGGACAGGAAAGTAGCAAAATCACACTGATTATTGAAAAGGGGCCCAGAAGGGATCCAAGGAGTTTCACACCAGTTTGCCTAACACCAACCTACTGGATTTCATTTAGGAGGTTAACTCGATTGTGAATAAAGGCGATCCAGCAGACACAGTATAGCTGGGCATCCCAAAAAGGGTTTTAACAAGGTTCCTCACCAGGCCTTTGATTAGGGAGCCACATCCATCTACCTGAGGCCCTGGCCCCAATATTAACATTACATCAACACTAACATCAATATTACACCAACTTGAATAGCCTGTGCTCCGCCGATACGACCCAGACCATGTTGCCAGATGACTGTTGGATGCCCGCCATCGTTATATTGCGCTAGCACTTTATGTATTGTTTCAGACCTATTTTATTGCAATAATTTAATTGTTTTACCTTGTTATGATACTATGTAAGCTGCCCTGAGCCTGCTCCGGCAGGGAGGGCGGGATATAAATTATTAATTAATTAAATAAATAACAGTTGTTTAAACTCCTGCTTTCTGCTCTGTCCACAAGCCACCATGAACTGCTTCAGAAGTTCATGGAAGTTCGTGACGGTAGACCTGTCATGAACTTTGTTTCACAAGCCAAAAACAAGGCAAAATCCATGACGAATTTTGGTTCACGGTTCAGTTCATGCCCATCCCTACACAGGAACCACAGTAGGAATAAACAGACAGTTCTCTCAATGGACGTGTTTACTAAGATGGAGTAAAGAACAAAGAAACACATGAATTCAGAACAATAAATACAGGAAATAAGATACTTGCACAGCTTACTCAGACGTAAGCCCCACTCAGTTCAGTGAAGCTCACTCGTAAGTGTGCACAGCACTATAACATATGGAGATATACTAACATCTAAATCTACTGCCATCCCTTCATTACATTATGGGAATACTTTCTAGTGTTGGACTAGATGGGCCACTGGCCTGATCCAAAACTGGCTTCTCTCATGTTCTTATTCACTGCCACAGGAGGTGGTGGCAGCTAAAAGCATGGACGGCTTCAAAAGGGAATTAGATAAACATATGGAGCAGAGGTCCATCCGTGGCTATTAGCCACAAGGTATAGATAGGGACTCCGGAGCAAGTGATGCTCTGTATTTTTGGTGCTGGGGGGGGGCGGCAACAGTGGGAGGGCTTCTGGTGTCCTGGCCCCACTGCTGGACCTCCTGATATCACCTGGTATTTCTGGCCACTGTGTGACAGAGTGTTGGACTGGATGGGCCACTGGCCTGATCCAAAACTGGCTTCTCTCATGTTCTTATGTGCCCAAAAAGTGGCTCTGGCAAGAGCAGAGCTGGGGACACCATCAGCCTCTGTACTTCCAAGAAGACAGCAAGAAGAACACATGCCCTCAAAGCAGTGTCTCGTCCTGCAAATTGCTATCCAAAGATGGCAAGCAGGAGATACTACAGATTCTGGACCTTGGAGAATACTGATCAGGGCCTGCACCATTATCCTGAACCTTTAAATCAGCCTGTGCTAGAGACCTGAAGCACGGTTAGGACACCACAGTAACAGTAATTGTGCCTGGACATAAAACAACCATCTAACCCCTGTCTCCAAGAAAACTGATCCAGGTAGTCAGCTGTGTTGGTCTGAAGCAGTAGAACCAATTTAAGGTCCAGTCAGGCACCTTTAAGACCAACAAAGGTTTGTTCAAGGTATGAGCTTTCATGTGCAAGGCACACTTCTCCAAATTTCGAAATGTATTTGAAAAAGTGCACGTGCACACAAAGGCTCATACCTTAAATAAACCTTTTTTGGTCTTAAAGGTACCACTGGACTCTAAATTTGTCCCGGAAAACTATTAGCAGCCTTTCTTTAACATGCCCTGCATATAGCCATTTTACTTCAAACCTTAGGTTTCTAGCCACTTAAAATTAGTCAAAATTAGAAAACAACAACAACGAAAGAGAAGTATATTAAAAGACAAGATGAACTCAAGCAGGACAGAAGTTTCTCACACTGGGGTCTGGATCCTTCTGGGGGGTCCACAAGAGAGCCAGTTTGGTGTCGTGGTTAAGTGTGTGGACTCTAATCTGGGAGAACTGGGTTTGATTCCCCACTCCTCCACTTGCACCTGGCTGGGTGACCTTGGGTCAGTCACAAGCTCTGCCACAGCTGTTCCTGAAAGAGCAGTTTGTGTCAGAGTTCTCTCAGCCCCACCCACCTCACAAGGTGAATGTTGTGGGGAGGGGAAGGGAAAGGAGTTTGTAAGCCGCTCTGAGACTCCAAGTGAAGGGCGGGGTATAAATCCAATCTCAATCTCTCTCTCACAAGGACCATGGTGGGTCCAGGGGGGCAGCAAGGGCAAGAGACCTTTTCACATCCATCCGTTTAATATGAAGACTGAGCTCAGTCTTCTAGGAATGGGTGCAGGGACTCTATCCCAAGGTAAATGGATGGAATTAAAGGCTTCCTTCCTGTTTTGAAGGTTTGGTACTCACAGAGCTGCTCTTGCCTGCAAACATCTAGGTTCCAAGTAACAGCCAGAAGATGCACCACTTGGTCACTGGGGACCAACAGCTCAGCTGCAGGAACTTTGATTGGTTGAATGGCACCAAGGAAGTCCAGTTCTAATGGAGTCATTATACTGATAACACTTAACTTTTTCCACTCTAGTTTCCAATGAAAAGCATTTCAGGAGAGACAGAAAATGCCACCTGCGTCCATAGATAATAAAGCAGCTGCTTTCCACTTGACACCGCAAAGTCCAAGTTTTGTGTAATGTTGATATTCTAGTCCTACAAGCAACTCAAAAGATGCTCTAGGCTTCTTCTCACACTTGTTCAGCTATCTAGAGGTTATTAACCCATAAGGGAGTTTCTTCCTGCTTTCACTACAAAGCTCCTTTCAACCAAGGGGTTAGATTTATCAGGGCTTTTTGAGGTCAGGGCTTTTTGAGCCGTGACACCATAGAGTCATCTACCTCTGAGACCTGAACTTGTATGGCCATGTACCAACGTTTTCCTTAAAATTGCTTTTAAAGCATATTTATTTTATTTATTTATTTTATTAAATTTATACCCCGCCCTGCCTGCAAACAGGCTCAGGGCGGCTTACATTGGTCGGTCCACAGTGACCATTAAATCTACATAAAATCCTCTTAAAATCATAAAATTATAAAGTACTGGATACATGTCATTAATTAGTTAAGATGGCGTACTAAAGTGCATACAGCGCACA